TCCATGCCCCAACCCTCATACGCATCCACGTGCAACATTCTTCAGTCAAGAAAAAACAGGCTTTTACTTTGGCTTTAATTCTATAACAATATTAAGTTTAAATGTCCTGAAGGTTAATTAAATAATAACACACACCTAATCTCGTAAAAATTACATTATACATTATAATGATAGATTAGTAGTCTATCATACTCTTTAATATGAAACATGTTCTTCCACATTTTAATCTATACATTTACCTTTGCTCCAACTGATGTACTTTTATTGTTTTTTATTAGAAAAGCCTCTCTAATTTTGCCCGCTCATGAGCTCTGATGCAGATGTTCAACACAATGCAGTAAAAGTCACACTTTGCTCAAACACAATTGAACATTTTAAGTATTCAAAAACATTTTCCTCAGAGCTGATACAGTGAGATCCCGTATGCTGCCAGCTCGAGCAGCCTGGGATGCATTAGAGGCCAGGGCAGAGGCTGCCCTGAGTGGCCTTCATTAGGAACAGCCGCTCCTGTCTCCCACAAAGGCCTAGTCTACGTCTGCCTCACAATAAAAGCCAGTCCTGGATGATAGATCATGATCAGACATGGTAAGTGAGGCGGACCCTCCTCACACTGGAAGACACTCGGTGGAGGATGACAAAGAAATGTGCTTTAGTTTAATAGACACAAGGGAAGAACAGGGACTGGGGCCGACAGCAGCGCTCGGTGTCACTGTCACCTCATAAAACATTGTAATGGACCAGCTCCTATTTGTCAAAAAAAAGACAAATGGAAGAGAGGCAGCTCTGAGGAGGAATGAAGGAGAAAGTGAAAATGACAATTTGAAGAAAAATGTTGTGCTATTATGTTACCGGCTTCCCGAAGACTATAAAAGACTCATGCACATACAGGGACTTGAAAAGTATTCCTACCCAATTTTTTTGTGTGAAAGACCACCACAAAGTGGGAAAGAAATGTGAAGTGAAAACAACATTTTACATGATTTCATTTTCAAGTTTTGAAAGTATTCAGCCTTGTTTTCCCTCCCTTTAGATTTAGAAGTTTCCTCTTGACTGGTGAAATGACAACCTAACGATTAAGAGCGTTCACTTCAGTGAAATCTAATCTTAGTAGGATTACAGATGTTTTGTGATTAGATATTGGTACTGATCACATGCATGAGGCCAATGGTGACTCTGGAGGAGCTGCAGGTGTCCACAGTTCACCTGGGGAAATCTGTACATGGGCACAAATTATTTATGCACTACACAAACTTTATGTACAAGTGATGAATAGAACGTCAGTGTTGAAATAAAGCCACAAGAGGAAAAGTTGGGGGCTCATGGAACATGTGGAAGAACAGACTGTGGTCCAATGAGACATGGTGGCAGCATCATGCTGTGGGGCTGCTTCAGCGGAGACAAGGAAGAGTGTTCGATTTTGGACGAGAATGTTTTGGGAGTCTGCAAAAACTGGTTGAAACTGGAATGTGGTTTAAAATAAAACGTGTTAAAATGGCCAAGTCAAGTTTCCAATCCAGGAACGACTGCTGTAGTTGCAGTGAAATGGTTGTTTTTACTCATGGTCGCTGGATACCCAGATATTTGGCTAAGAAAAGATTTAAAAAATCTTTTTGCTTTGACTTGACATTTTTCAATCAGTTTGTGGTGGTCTTTCACATAAAAATGTAATGTTTGTGGTCATGAAATGACAAAGGTTCATGTGGTATGAATACTTTCTAAAGGCACTGTATGATACAGCGCAAATGTAGAATGCATCAGATACATTTGCAAGTGCCCCTTCCCTGTGTTCTAGGTCAGAAAAAACCACTAAAGTACTGATATAAGTGGGCTTCATTTGAAAGCAGGTCAAAGCAGTCGACTCAGGGAACAATGAAGAAATGATGTGAGTCAAAAATAAACTTTTCTGTTGAATTATTTTGATCTCATTTAAATTGGTACAAAACATTGTAGATCTTTTTTTAACATGACTGACTGTCAAAAGTAAAAGATAGGTCTTTGTGTGAGCCCCAGACACATTTCCTTTGAACAATTAAAAAAATGAGGCTCACACGCACAGAGTTAACCACGATGCATCTGCTGTAGAGGCACATCCTGCATCGCGCTTGAAAGCTCGTCTATCATATCTAAAACCATGTCTGAACCACAGGAAGTCCAACTGCGCACGCGCTCACACAAACACGCACAGCTAACAGTGACAAAACGTGGGAGAGACTGATGTGATCTCTTTGTATGCAGGTTTAATATAATTCAAATCTTGATTTCAAATTGCATTTACTACATCACAAGTCTGCTATTTACGTGTTACTGAGCCCTCTGCAAAGAACATCCTGGTAATTCTCAAACTCATAATTGAGACCAAAAGTTTGATTTGAAAGTTACTTGTAAAACAAATGCAAAATATTGTAATTTCTTCTTAAGAAGTGGAAATAAGTGTTAGAAGGATTCCTCTTGTGTTGTGTCAGAGCAGTCAGTGGGGGATGCAGTCATAGACTGAAATGGTTCACCTCTATTCTGGTCTGGTGACTGGTCTGTGTGTTGGGGCATTTGGGGTGAGTGAGGTCTCGGGTTTACTGTGCTTTTATGTGAGGCTGCGCTTTACCCTCCAGCTGCCTTTGGAGCAGTGATGTGGTGCCACGCTTATACCTCAGTGTGACTGTAAATTTACCACTCTGGTGAAGACAGGCGGTAAGCAAAACACACAAGCACAAGGCGATAACAGCAGGGAAACTGGGAACTTGTAGGCATTCTCAGTCACTGGAAAAGTGCATTTGTTAACAATCATATGAAAAACCTGTCAATAGAGAATGAGTTCAGGGAGATGAAATATGCACAGGCTCGTGACAAAATGACAAAGATTAAATCTCATGAAATATGGATCATATTTGATCAAAAAGAAGGTTGCAACTGTATACAACAGCCCAACAAAGGGCATATTCTCACTGACTGCTGGAAAATATGAACCAGTGGATCCACTCTTCCCACTGTATCCAACAGATCAGTGGAAGGAGTGGATACAAAACAAATTTCTACAGCTAAACTTAAGTTAAATGTAAGTATAGTAGAAAGTTGAAATGCTTCCTCTCTTGTTTTGAAAAGAGTCCTGTGTACAAATGGTTTCCTTGCCCATTCTTATTTGAACAATTTGCATTTAGCCAGTGATCAACACAACCTTGAAGAATCAGTTCTTCCACACTTGATGAAGTGCACACACTCTTCAGTGGGTGTGCAAATAGAACAACACAGTGTGTGGTGACACTGCTGCTTCCCCTCCTCTCCGTGCGCTTACCACAGTCTCCATGTCTGCTTGGGCCAATAAATAAATAATGGGCCTGGTGATCACTTCAAATAGAGCACACTGAATCCACTGCATGTGGGAGTCCTACTCTTACTTGAAATGACAAAAACAAAGACACACACTGGATAAACAGGATAATAAAATTACCATTGGTTATCTTCAATAATTAATAATAATTAATAATTATTGACGATAACCAACTAACTGCATGAGTAAGGAGTAGAAGAAAACAGAGTTCAAATTGTCAAGATGTGGAGTGAGCAATTGTGTAAGTGGCATAAAAAGGGCTCCCATGGCCAATCCCAGGCAGGACTATTATGTTGTTTGATACAATGACGGCCACTTCATTATAAAAGCCTCCTCAAGTCCCACGCTGCATTCCACGTTTATGGGGAACATATGGGGAAGCCTGCAATTTTTAGACCACAAAATAAGCCCCTTTGCAGCTGGACGCACAACCGCACTGGGTCCTTTTTGCTTCACGAGCCACGCCCGAGAGGCGTAGGACCACTGACAGTGATTAAACCACCACAGTTTTCTCAGCAAAACAGGAGTTATATTAAGCTTAAATACAGGGGCTTGATAAACAAGGCCTGGGCAGGGGAAACATTTTCAGTGAAGGGTAGCCACAATGATCTTCAAACTATTTTACCATTACAGTCATAGGCAGTGCAACGCCATAAGATATATTTCAAAACATGAAGCAGATGTTTACCTAGACAAAGAAGAAAAACATTCAGCACCAGAAAAACAGAAACTTCATCGCTTTGTTCAAATGTCAACTTTGGTCACAATAGATGAGGGTGTTGCACAAGGCATTGAGATTATACTGTTTTGTTTTTATAAAATCATGCACAGAATCCTTTGTTCATAGGCATAAACAATCAAATAAAAAATAGTAAAAATAAAAAAAAATTAAAATAAATACTTTCAGGCCTCACCACAAACATGCAGTGGAAAAACACAGATCCAGAACTGTGTACACCTCTTTTTCAAAGTAATTCACCACTGTAAGAAAACCAGCCCAAACACACCGTGTAAGCAAACTTGTGTCTGTTTCTAATGTTTCAGAAGTGAGCATGTTGTGTCTGTTGTGCTATGGACCAGTGACAAAGCCAGGGGCAGATGTGTCTCTGGACAGACTGGCTACAAGAGGCCAACTAAAGGCAGCAGAGGTGCGAGAAAAGGAAACCTTTCTGTACATGAGGTTAGGTGGGAGGCCTGCAGCGGCCCAGTGGACGTTCTGATAAAAGCCCTGGGGCCGCGGCTGTGGCCTCGGCATACGGCCGCACTCGCCGATGTGCCGTGTCATTTAGGCCACGCTGCCGCCTAACTCTGCAACAACTGCTCATTTACAGGGCAGTGTGGCCTACCAGGACCAAGTGCCTCTGTCACACACACTCCATGGAGCCATACACACATCTCAAGTCTGCAGTATGTACAGAAATTAGCAGCCCTACAAGCCCTCTGCATGCAGTAGCAGTTATGAAATCTTGCCACCAAATCCTCACGTTTTGAGAAGGGTCACATGAGTGACCAGACAGTGGTCAGCTCCTGACTCAGTCTCTGTGTCACTCAGACTGGAGAAAGCAGAAGGGAAGTTTTAATACCAAAACTCTTTCAATTCAAAATCTGCAAGACGTTAAAAGCCAATTTCATTTCATGTTTTCTATAAAACAGTGACAAAATTACGACACAATGCAACATGCGCCTCAAATCTCATGTGCTCTTTCACAGAGGATATAGGTACACCAGCAACATCAGTGAAAGCCTTTCTGTTGTTAAATTTGAACAAGAAAATTAAAAGGTGTGAAAACCACAATCTGGGTTGAAATTGCTTTGCGGATTCAAAGAGGAAAATTATTTACTAAAGCCCATATTGTTTTTTCTACACTAGCCCAGGTTTGCCGTCTCATATGCATGTCTTTCTATGTAGATCAATGTGACACACACACACACACACATACAGTTGCTGCTTGTGCGTGTAGCTAACCTTTAATGTGCTGAAAACCAAAAAGACAATAGTAATGCACAGTAACTGGCAAATGTAATTCTAATGAAACCAAGATGATGATACTGAGTGGTAAATGAGGGTGGAGGTTTTCAGGGCCAAAACCACTGCTTCTTACAAACACAGATGTGCTATGACTCAGAGCAGCATAGAGTCAGAAACATAGAACATGGAGTCCTGTTCTGTCTTTAGAGCAGGACAAAACCTTTAATTTTCATTCTGTGTTGTTTTTAAAGTGAGTTTGGAGTGAATTCTTACACTTCAATACTTTTAATAAAAATGTCAAAATGCACCTTTTGTGAACATAAATATTTTCTTTTGATACCAAATACAATCAAAGAATGTCAAATTAAAGAAGTAAAATGTGGGAATGAGTTAAGACGAACACTTGCAAGGGACATTGAAAGGAGGTGGGAGGGAGCGGCTTGTGACCTCACGTGACATGTGATGTTTCCTCCTCCACTCACAGAGAAGTGAGTTGTGGAGGATGGCGAGGAAGATGCAGATACACTGTGGCTAATGTTGACGCTCAAATTTGGCCACCACTACGCTGAACAGAAGGAAAGGCAGACCACGCTCAGGCTAACCGGCTAACCTCTCACAACTCCAGGGACCACAGAACTCTCTGCCACAAGGCCCAAGATTACCCACGTGCCTCGTGGTCCCGCCGTGTCCCTGGTGAGTCTCAACACACTAACTTCTGCACTAGTCTTCGTCTGTTGTCACATCTTGTTCAGAGCTCTACTAACACATACAGCACTGCTTTTTGCACACTTGTGGCTCGTCTATGTGGATTCCTGTGGTGGTCATAACCCATAGATTCTTGGTTATGAACAAGCTTTTAAGCAACAGCCAATAACCCTAATGCTACTTAATTGTACTTGGTATGATTAAAATTGGAAGCAAACTGTGCTATTTTGTGTTTTAGGTCAGTGGACACTGGCTGTACCTGGGACGTTTGACTTTGCTGGCACTATTGTCATGGCGTCTAACAGCATCTTTGACTCCTTCTCCAACTACAGCAGCAGTCTTCTCAGAGGTGAGTGTTGGTCCACCACTCCTTCCCTCTGTTCGTTTCCTTAGGTGGATTTCTTCAGTTGAGATGTATGCTTCTTAAAAGTATAAATGCATGCATGTGAGGTGGTTTACAGATACACAGTAGCCCTCATTGACTTGAATGTTATGGCCCTTTATGGCCTTTGCCTCTTTGCATCTGTTCACTTGATGGAGTTTCTCCATAATGGGATTCTCACCACAGACATTCATTATCAAGTGATTCTCAAAGAATACAAGCTCAGAGGCTCCAAGCAACTAAGTTCTTACTGGAACTCAGCAACACAATAAACGCTCAAAGAAAAAAACATATTAGGACTTGCTCTCACTCTGCTTTATTTGTGAGAGGTACTTTTGGTCTGTGGTGAGGTGAGTGCTATACAGCAACGTCACGAAGGATCCCATTGGTTGCCATCACGATTCAATTCAAATGGTTTGGATATGAAAAAAACACTCAGCAATGCTTTCATAATATAGAGACATGTAGCCTTCAGATGAGCACATACCAAAACCAACTTACAACTGTACCTATCTTCAAACCCACAAAAACAAATTGTAAAATCTATGTAACTATTTTTTTGCTCACACAACAGTTTTGTTCTATTTTAGTTACTTCACAAGAATGTAAATTTGGCCTCTGTCACATCTTTAAATCAGCTTTTTTTGTGAAAAAGAGCGCATCAGCCCTAACTTATCCAATCAGCTCTCTGTATGGAAAAGATAACATGTTTGCTATTAAGATGAAGACAGCATGTTGTGGTCTGATTTCTTCACAGAATGTTTCTTAACAAATAAACAAAATGTACTTATGACAAGTAGTCCAGCTTTAATAATTCATCTAAAACAAATGTGAGAGCAAGTATAAGTTACCTTGGCATGTTATATAAAAACATTGTTTCCAGGATAAAAGGAAAATACACATATTTGGAATTTTACTGATAATAAATAGTAAAACATTAACACGGTTAATGATAGAGTGGCAAAGGACAAGCAGGAGCAGCTTATAATTGTTTGCAGAGGGTTTCCTAAACTCTGAGTACCCTGTGTGCTCAGAGCGGTACAGTACATCTGCTCCTCTGATATGGTTGTGCACTGACAGTGGAGAATGCCTTTGCAAACACCCAGGCCTTTATAGTTTCCCCTTGACATGACGACGGCCGCTCCACCGTTCCACACTGCAACCGCTGGATCTGCATCGCTTTATCTCCTCACTGTTTACAGACCAATGTGTCGCTCATTTCAGGTTTCACGCATTTCCACCATGAACCTATGGACAGCGTCTGATTTCTATTTAACGGCCGTCACAAACAGAACTGAACAGGTCAAAAGGGCAAACGCATCATGTACTGTACATTTAAAGTTCGCCAATCACCAGTAGGAATTATTTGTGAATTTCTTTTAAGCTTTACATTGGTCTATAATCATGGAGTCATTTACAGAGACCACAGTTAGTTCACCAATGAGGAAGAAATCAACTCAGATTCTTTAAGCAAAGGGTTTAAGACACACTGGTGTGTATGCTGTACTAATACTGTATCTATATAAAATAATGTCTGAAGGTGTTATTTTGATACGTCTCAGTTCAGACAGTGTGTAGCATGTGATGTGCAACATCAGATGCACTTCGCGTGAGAAGCGAGAGCTCAGCTCACCTCAAAAACCTCAATCTACTGTTCCAATTCGGGAACAAACGTAAAGCATATGATATACGTGCATGTGACTCAATTTAGTTGGAATCAGAACGAATGGCAATAAACAATATCAAACACACAGACATTCTGAAGTAAAATGGGAGGTGATGTACCTGCATCGGGGGTACCTACTACAGCGGCTGCAGCAGCTGTGCTGTGTAGTTGGTCATAGTTTGGCTTAGTTTCTGTCGCCACATTTCCTTCCACTGAGTTTTCTGTTTTATATGAGGGTCCATTTTAGACTGTTGTGCTGCTGGGAGCCAGCTCCTTTGTGGCACAGAAAAAGACTCAGCTTTATTAGGGTGGGAATGGTTTTATGTGTTTGCTTTATTGCTCTGCATGAATGGAAGTGTGGAACTGTGTGTAAGATGTTGCAGTAGAACTATTCTTAAAAAAAAAAAGTTTTTAACATGTGTGCACAATGAGATTCAACAAAAACATCTGATGTTACACTTATATCATTAAGAGTCAGCGAGAGAAAATCCCTAATAGCATAGCTCTTACAGATGTTGCCAAAGATGGATTTATTCAAATAATACTGTTGCGCTATTAGTAAGACATCATGGACAGAGGGGATAATCTTCTGGATTTGATTAGGCTTGTAAATGTTTCTGAGGTATCTATTTACTTTCATTTTACTTGCCATTTTCAGACTGTGTATGCAGAGTTTGCCAGTTAGAACCATGGTGTTGATTGTGTGGTCGCCTTTCACCTTCTTATTGGCCTTAAATGCTAATGCAACACTTAGAGATGGTTGGGTTTAGCGTAGTAGTGTAGTAGTAAATACAATTTTCTGATGGTCAACGTGGAATGCAAAGTCCAGACTCCAGTGGCTGATCTCCAACACACAATATACATTTAAATAATATGGAGTCTGGAGGAAAAATAGCTTTTAATGCTTTAACAACTTAACCGTAAATATATTTTATTTAAATTTTACTTTTTGTTTGCATTAAATACATGTATATACATGTACACTTAAAATGTGGCAATTACAAAAAAAAACAGCGAAATACAGAGCTGAGTCTATTCTTTTTGTTACTATTATTACTCAATGAACATCAAATCCATGTGTTGCAAATGGTCACATTACGTAGTGCTGGATAATAACACCAGAGTAGAGGAATTGGTCATGTCTAGACTATTTTAAAACTGGACAGAAAAGCTGCAGAAATGTTAATATACCTATAACGTGATGGAGGGAAATTATTGGGATTGAATATTCTGTTCATTTCATTTAATTTTATTCAGCCTATTGCAGTGAGTCATTTTGAGAGTCACACAGAGAATGGTGGTACGACACAGAGAATTGCTAGTACGTCATCTCAATTATCTTAGATGATATGTAGTATAACTTCAAAAACATTATATTTAACACAAGCCCTCTCCTTGGCATAACCAACACTAATAACATTTGCTGGAGGAGAAAAGTTTGGCCAATGGCAACATCCCTCGTCTGTGATAAGGATTGAATTTATTCCATCCAATTAAGAAGCAGAGATGGTGAGAAAGGACGGGTCTCAACGGTATTGAATATTATTTAACCAAGAAAGTCTCACTGAGATTTGAGACCCTCTTTTCAGGGAAGCCCCGCCCCCAGAGAGAGGAGGGAAAATTACCAAATATCATAAATGTATGGCTTGACTTCAGATTCTGGTGACAACAATTCTTTTCCCTTCTAAAGAGGCACAATGATGTAGCACAGTTTTGTTTTTGACATTTCAGTTGCCACAAATGGCTTCAATGGGTGGGCATATAATAAAAATAATATCACTTTGACTCATGTAGATCCCACATGTTCCAAAATACACACTTTTTTCCTGGGTTATGACACAGAGGAGGAAGGAGCTTTATTTTATCATGTGTGAAAGTTTAGCAAAGATCTGAAGCTGGAGGAACTCATTCTGTCACCATCAAAGGATTAGAAAGAATGCTTCTCGCCGACTAAACCCTTCTCCAGACTCGGTCTTCACTTCATTATGAGCTACTTTAATCATGCTCAAAACATCCTCCTCCCGTCTCCCGCTTCCCATAAGCAATAAAGAAAAACTTAATTACGGTGGAGAAAAAATGCATATAATGATAGGACATGAGAGGATGCAGGAAAATGTTTTTGGCGGTATTTTCACTTTTGCTATTTCTAACTTTATTTTGAAACTCTGCTTTGATTAATATTATGGTTCATCTGCTTTAGATGAACGATGCTTGTCGGCTGTACAACGAGAATGTGTAACAAGAACTGCTGAGTCTGTCCAAATGTCACTGATAGTTAACCATAGTAACTTGTCATTAGCCACTTTACCTGCTGTTAGTATTACTGTATTATTACATATCCATCTGATATTTCTGCCATTCACCAGTCACTTTACCTGTTGATATTATTTCTGATATTTATTCTGTTCATATGCATACTCCCATATTCTCCGCTGCTAAAGTACATAGACATCTGTAAATACTTTTGAACCAAGTGCAATTATAGCCCAGAGTTTATTTTATTTTATTTTATTCTTATCTTAATTTTATTGTCCATTATCTTAAATAATAGACTTATTTGATGAGTGCAATCTGAGTGCTCTTATTTCCTCTCTCTGCTGTAATGTGCGCAACGATGACACTGAAATTTCTCCACTGTGAGACGAATAAAGGTTCATCTTATCTTATCTTATCTTAGACTTCATTGTTTTGCCTGAAATTTTTCCTTGTGGCATGAAATATCTTGCATTCAGTTTAATTTTTGCATATACATAATCTCGACTGGGAGAAGGGCTGGTAAATTTCAGTACAGGTTCCTGCAGAGTTCCTTTTTTCTGATTATTAACTTGCAGGATTGATTGAAAGAGGTTAATATGGCTTCCATGGCATGTTATACATAATTTTCTCATCACATAATTCAATGCATTTAAAAATATTCAATTCAAATAACCAGTTATAGTTTACACAAAAAATACATTTGACCTGTCTGCAATAAAAACAAGCCTTTATCTTCTGTTTTGGTCCAGTCTAAAAATCGAACAGAAATCTGCCAGAAAGAAATACAGTACAGTAAATATTTGGACTAAATTAAATATAGCCATCAATCAACTATATATATTTTTTCATTCAGCCCCCGACAGAAACTTGACTTTGACGTCTATGAGCTAGAATCTATTCTAGAGTGTCAAGACTGAGAAGCTCTGCGCTGCTGCGATCGGCTTCAACTCAGTGCTCACGTCTGACTCATCTCACTCTTGCACCAGCCTCGGGTCTGTGCTCAAAGCAGGGCGTAAAACCTTGGCTTTTCCAAATAATGTGTAGA